GCTTGGGAACCCTGCAGCCCAATGGTATCAATGTGGACTTCACAAGCTTCAAAATCTCCCCTCCTCCTACCCCATCCCAGCTCGTCCCCGCCTCCCTAACCTGTCCTTCCTCCCACCTATCCCCTCCTCCCACCTCAAGCCCCACCCCCATTTCCTACGTACTAACCTCATCCCCGCCCCCTTGACCTGTCCGTCCTCCCTGGACTGACCTATTTCCTCCCTACCTACACTCCCCTTTACTGGCTCCATCCCCGCCTCTTTGACCTGTCTGTCTCCTCTCCACCTATCTTCTCCTCTATCCATCTTCTTTCCGCCTCCCTCCCCTATTTCTGAAGAAGGGTCTAGGCCCGAAACGTCAGCCTTCCTGCTCCTGTGATGCTGCTGGGCCTGCTGTGTTCATCCAGCTCTACACCTTTTTATCTAAGATTCTCCAGCATCTGCAGTTCCTACTATCTCCAAATCATTTCCTTTTGTTTTCATCAGTTTCCAACTTTCCCATGCACCCAGTTGCTAAAGATTTGGCGATTCTGACCTGTTAGAGCTGAATAGCTCAAGTTCAATGTCCTGCGAGTGGTCTTGATTTTTTAAGATACTTAAATACTGTTTCATTTGCTAATGTTATCCCTTGTTCTCTGCCTTTATCTGCTCAGCAGTTCTGTTTTGATGAGTTGAGGAGCAACCTTTCTTTATTGTACTTCCTGCATTCAGGTGCTTTCTCCTGTTTTGATCTAACTTTTGTCCACACCTGATTGATTGATTGGATCGGTACTGTAGTTGATCATGTGAGTCTAAAAAGTGGAGATCCCTAGTAATTGATTTTATTGGAAGCTTGATAAATGGCTGCCTTGTGTTTAAGAACACTGAATTTTGTCTTTGGCTCACAGTTAAGCTGTGACAATGCAATTTATATTTGGTGAAAGATTTTGCAGTTTACCAGCTGAACGGAGCAAACCAGTATGCTGACATGGAGGTCATTGACCAAAATATGTTGTTCCATCCAAAATGCAGAAGGTACACGAAAGACGCTTAACTTTACATCAACAAATTTTTAACCATTCTTTGCTTTTTTTCACCCTCAGCTTCCTGCAGATGCGATCTTAGTTCTGTATAACTTTGCTGGCCAGCCCAGTGGAGAAGCTTTGGTGACTTTCCCAACCATTGAGATGGCTACACGAGCAGTGTCAGAAAAGAATGGGCAACTTATTGGTCATGAGTGTGTAAACCTCCGATTGGTGCAAGACTTGCACATTGACTCACCAGCCTTCACCCACCCCATGGGAAAGAGATGATCGTTCCTTTATAAAAAGGAGTGTGGCCTTGTACAGAGCATGACAAAAAGAGGAAACTGTCGGACACCCCCTTACTGCCAAAGGGTTGTGCACTAACACAAAAGCCATAATAGACTGCAATATTCTGCATCAACCTCTTTTTAAACTGCCAACTAGCATTTCTGATTTTGACTTTATACTGATGTGGAAATGACTTGCAAAACTTGACAATGCTAACTGTAGTTAAGTTATATATTTTATTTAAACCTAGTAGCTTCAGAGCCACATGTAGACTCGCCATTCCTAACATGCATGCAGTGTTTATGTTAAACTATTTGTATGATACAAGAATGCTGCTTATAGGTAATGCCTTTAATGCATGCAATAGAAGTTTTTTTGTATATGCCTATAAGCTATGAGGATATTTTTTTTATTCTTAAATGGCTAAGTGATGAACTGTCTGCTGTTGGAGCACTAAAACTTGTTATCCATGATTTATTTTCCCTGTGCCTTAATGCAAAGTGCAATATCAGCAGAAAAAAGTTTTGAAAAGGCCTCCTGTGAGGCTAAATGAGTTGTATGTACTTAGTTCATAGAGCAAGTTTGAAACTTGCTACAGTATAAAATTGTATGCTTTGTATAGCCAAACAATAAAAGTTTAAAGATGCATGGATGAGTGTTTATAGTTTTTTTTTGCGGTGTGTGGGGAAGTGCCACAGGGATAGAAAGAGGTTATTGAAGCCAAAGTCGGCTTTCAATCTTGATTTAAGTACAATGCGGATTTCAGTAAGCAAATTAAAATTCTCCTTTTATTTTTGTATTCTCTTCTCCACTTGCAATAAAAAGCTATTAAGGCAAATTGTGTATTCAGATGGAGTGGTTTGTGTAGGATTAACATATGCCTATTCTGCTCTCTTAACAGCATTTTAAGTGAAATTTAGATTTTTAATTCAATGGAAAACTGGGAGACCATCAGAAATTGTTCTGTTGGGGATATCCAGCCAACTAGTGTGGCAGAGTGAGGAGGTATTTACAACCATTAGAGGAGAAAGGACTAGGTTAGCAGAATGTGCCTGATGCTTATGAAACGTTGATCTCATCAAGTTATTGCCTTCAGGAGTAGGACTATATATGAAAAGGAAATGTAGTCCTTGCTTCTAGATCCCTCCTTCCGTCTTTTGAGGGATTGGACCATGAGCTCAAGATTTACTTGTTTCAAGAAGTAGAAAATTTTCAGCCAATTCATTTAAAACAACTTGGTTCCTTGTAACTCTGTAAATAATTGTCAAGAGCAAGGACTCGCGGAAACTAATGACATGGAGTGAAATATTTGTCAGTCTTGAACTTGATATTCCTTGTTTAAAGGACTGTATTTACTACTGCATGCCTTTGGAATTTTGCTTGAGAGCAGTGGCTGTGAGAATAAATGTTTGCTGGAGTGTAATGTAACATTGCTAGTTGCTAATAAGTGTGATTTCTTGCCAAACTATCCAACCTTGCTCTTTTCTTTTCAACTTTATCTACATTCAGACGAAGCCTCTTTCTTTAAAACAAAAATTCAGAACCTACCAAATGCCTAAGATTTAGTATCCTGGTTGTCCCAGTGCCTGAATAAGCAGAGGATATTATTCTGAGCAAGGGTCACTGGACCTGAAATGTTTAACTCTGATTTCTCTTCACAGATGCTGCCAGAGCTGCTGAGCTTTTCCAGCAACTTCTGTTTCTCTCTCTCGGGTTTTATTTAGGATATCAAATAACAGTTTGGTGTTAACCTGAAAATCATGATGTTATGCACATGTTCATACTTAAATTCTGTCATAATTACAGGCTTCATCTAAATCTGTTGGTAACATGTTGAATCTCCGCCTCTAAACCTAAATTCATATGAAAATGTGGATCGGTACAGTGTGGAGCTGGAGGAAAACAGCAGGATCAGAGGAGCAGGACAGTTGACGTTTCGAGTTTACACCCTTCGTCAGGACTCTTGTGAAAATGTGCAGTGTATTGCAGTTGTATTAATGGCTGAAGGTAAATAAAATGGGGAGAGAAAAAGCAGTTTCTATTTGCTCAGCGGAAAATATTTGCTGTCCATCTTTCTCAATGTTCACATTGAGGGGAATTGATGGAAAGACATTCTGGACTGTTCAGCAACAGTACAGCTAGGGAATGACTGTTTCTGTTGCCTCTGCTATACAGATGTCAGAAGTTTAGGGCAACTGAACTATATCCATGATCCTTGTAATGCAAAATAAATTGAATAATGGGTCTTGATGAGGATCTGTAAACAAAAAATTGTACAGCGCATTAATAATAGTGCAACAAAAACATTTAGATGCTACCAGACCAGTGGAGTCAATGTTTCGGGTCTGGTGACCAGTCTTTAGAACTCGGGACTTGGTGTTAACTGCTTTCTCTCTCCACGTATGCTGCCAGTTCAGCTGAGTTCTCAACAATGTTTGTTTCAGATCTTCAGTACCCACAGTTCTTTGTTTTATGATATTAATAGTGCAGTCTGGTTAATAACTAGACACAAGTAGATGACAGAGATAGTAGGAACTGCAGATGCTGGAGAATCTGAGACAACAAGGTGCAGGGCTGGATGAACACAGCAGGCCAAGCAGCATCATAGGAGCAGAGAGGCTGACGTTTCGGGCCTAGACCCTTCATCAGAAATAGGGGAGGGAGGCGGAAAGAAGATGGATAGAGGAGAAGATAGGTGGAGAACCCCCTTCCCCTCCCCCTTTTCTGATGAAGGGTCGAGGCCCGAAACGTCAGCCTCTCTGCTCCTATGATGCTGCTTGGCCTGCTGTGTTCATCCAGCCCTGCACCTTGTCTCAGATTCTCCAGCATCTGCAGTTCCTACTATCTCTGATTCAATTTTAACCCCACTGCGAAGCCTCTTCTAAGGATGCCTAGCCTGAAGAAGTTACCCTCCTCCCTCCGGACAAACCTCAAGGGATCTCTCTCCCACTGCAACACTCTCGTAATCTCTTCGGCCCTGAAACTGCTCGACCACGTCCTGAAGCAAACCAGGTACTACAGCCACATCACCTTCCTTAGCACCTGCCTATGGAACCAGATCATCCCCAATGGACTACAGTCCACATTCAGGCCTTCCCAATTTGGCCCCAACCGTGACAATATCTACACTCATGGTATTGAGATCCTTCAGAAGCGTTTCTCCCTGCGACTCCTGAAACACACACTCGCTGCAATGCGCCGGCATCTCCAGGCACTACAATCAGCTTTTCTGATGAAGGGTCTAGGCCCGAAACGTCAGCCTCTCTGCTCCTATGATGCTGTTAGGCCTGCTGTGTTCATCCAGCCCTGCACCTTGTTGTCACAAGTAGATGACATCTGTCTTATGAAAACTTTGAATGCCAATGACAAATTGGAGACATTAATTCATTTAAAAACCCAATAACTGGTTGATAATTGCAGAAATAAGTTGAGTCAAGTATCAAAGCTAATAGTTCTTTACAAATGCTGCATGCATTCAGATAACGAGAAGTGTGTTAACAGCATAAATAAAATAAATGAATATTACTTGGTAGCAGCTGCAGAAGATGTGTTTGCATGGTGATCAAGACTGCAAACTCAATGTTTAAGGGTGTTTAATATTCCAGAAGGATAACCAAAGAGGAAGAGGAGGTGGGATAGCTTTATATTAAGGAACGTATCGGTGCAGTGGTGAGAAGTGATATAGATGCTGTTGTGGTGTGGTATCACTTTGGGTGGAAATAAGGAATTGCCAGGAAAAGATGTTTTGGATGGGAGATGTCTACATAGGCCCTTGAAGAGTTGCCTCCCTGTCGGACAAATCAAGAAATAATGGAGGCATGTGAAAAGGGCATGACAATGGTAGGACCTTGGGAATCTGTGAGGATCAGAGGGATCATGGTCTCTTAAGTTATCAGGTTAAAGTGTTTAAAGAGATGGGATACTTGCCTTTATTAGAGCAGGCATAAACTTGAAGAGCAGGGAGGTTATGTTGGAACTTGATAAAGCAGTGATTAGGCTACAGTCACAATATTGTGAGCTGTTCTGGAATCCACGTCATGGGGAAATAATAGCACTGGAGAAGGTGCAGACCAGGTTTAGCAGGCTGTTCCTAGGCACGTGAGTTTGAGTTCCAAAGAAATTGGACAGACTGGCATTGGTTTCCTTAAAGCAGAAGAAATTGAGACGGGGCATGATAGATGTATAAAATTGAGGAGCATGCATAATATAGACAGGAAGAAACCTTGCCCCATAGCTAAAAGCATAGATTTAAGGTAAGGGATATCAAGTTTAAAGGAGATGTGAGGAAAACCTCTTTCACCCAAAGGCTGTTGGGAATCTGGAACTTGCTGTCTGTAAGAGTAGTAGAGACAAAAATCCTCATAACATTTAGGTATTTAGACATGCAGATGTGATACCAAGACATACAAGGCTATGGGCTAAGTACTGGAAAATTGGATTAGCATAATTAAGTAGTTGTTTTTGACTGTTGCAGAGCGATGGACTGAAAAGTCTTTTTCTGTGCTGTTGACCTTTGACAATTCTCGGATGAATTTATATTGAATGCATATTGATTGTCCAATCATATAGACAAGGGTAAATGTGGAAGAGCAGTTTGTATAGTGTCTAGTATGATAATTGCATTGTTTTTAATTTTCAAAGGATCTTTTCATTTGGAGGCAGTCCCTTTTTTTTTACTGTTGTGGGATGTGGACATCACTGGCTGGCCTGGCATGTATAGCCTGTCCTTTGTTGCACTTTGAAGGTGGTGGAGGCACACTGCCTTCTTGCCATCTGCTGCAGATAGTCCCACAGTGCCCTGGGGGAGGGAATTTCAATATTTTGACCTAGCGACAGTGAACGAATGGTGATATAATTCCAAGTCAGGATGGTGAGTGGCTTGGCGAGGAACTTGCAGGTGGCGGTATTCCCATGTATCTGCTGCTCCTGTCCTTCTAGATGGAAGTGGTCGTGGATTTGGAAGGTGCTGTCTCAGGATCTTTGGTGAATTTCTGCAGTGCGTCTTGTAGATAGTAGTAGCAGCAGTGTGTACTGAGTGTCAGTGGTGGGGTGTGTGGATGTGGCGTTAATCAAGTGGGTTGCTTTATCCTAGATGGTGTCAAGCTGCTTGTATTATTTGAACTGTATCCATCCAGGCAACTGGGGAGTATTCCATCATATTCCCAATTTGTGCCTTGTGGATGATGGCCATGATGTGGAGGTGCTGATGTTGGACTGGGGTGGACAAGGTCAGAAACCACACGACACCAGGTTATAGTCCAACAGGCTTAGTTGAAAACACAAGCTTTTGGAGCCTCGCTCCTTCCTCAGGTGTTAGTGAGAGAGGATAGTATCAGACACAGAATTTATAAGTAAAAGATCAAAAGGTCACACCATTGAGGATGTACTAAACAACCTAAGATGCTGTTAAATCTTTAATCAAAGATCTTTAATCTTTAATTAAAGATTTAACAGCATCTTAGGTTTGTTTTGTTCATTGTCAATGGTGTCACCCTTTGATCTCTTTCTTAAATTCTGTGTCTGATACTATCCTCTCTCACTAACACCTGAGGAAGGAGCGAGGCTCCAAAAGCTTGTGTTTTCAACTAAGCCTGAAGTAAGTTTACTTGCCTGCACTATTTCTAGCCTCTGACCTTCTCTTGTAGCCA